AGCTATTAAAAAACCTTTCTGAGGTTTTTCACTGCAGCGCCTGTGATCATGCAGCCCCAGCTCTGGCGTCACCTCCCTGCCTGCCGGGGCCAGAGTTTGGGCTCAGACTTCCCATGCTGCTGGGGGCAGGCTGGGCTTTGCTGTCCCCAGGGGACCCTGCTCCCTGGGAAGGCTGGTGGGGCTGGATGGGACCCAGTGGTGCCCAGCCAATCGTCCTGGTTGCTCGTGCTCTCTTCTTTCTCCTGTTAACCAGGGCACATTTCCTTCTCTTCTCTCTCCTCTCCACCGTCCAAGGGTCCAGGTTACCCCGTGGCCATGCTGGTGCCAGCCTCTCCCTCTGTGCCCCAATGCCACAAGCATCAGCCCATTTCCACCCACGCAGGCTGGATTCTCTCCCCGACCTCTCCCCCTTGTGCAGGGAAGGGTTATTTTTGATGCTTCTTCGAATTTTAAGCACAGCTGGTGGTTTTTCTCCCCCTTTGCAGGGCAGAGGATGGCCTCAGCCCTCCCGCTGCTGCTGCTCTGGGTGTTTGCCCCCACGGTGGTCCCAGAAGTGTTTGGCCCTGGCGATGGCACAGGTAACTCGTCATCATTGGCCACATCTGTGCTGGTCCCTGCCCTGTCAGTGCCCTGTGGCGGGGGCCTGGGCGGGGGGAACCCCATGCCGGTCTCGCTCATGGCTTCTCTCTTCTCCTACCCAGAGGACGTCAAGGCTCTGCAGGTCTCCATCCCACGCCACCCAGCCCTTGATGCCGTGCTGGCGGGCGACATCACCATCCCCTGCCTCATCACCTACCTTGGCCCCCAGCCCACTGCCGGCACAGCCGGGCGCCGGGCGGTCCTGGGAACCCCCCGGGTCAAGTGGACCTTCATCTCTGAGGGCAGGGAGGTGGAGATCTTAGTAGCTCGGGGGGACAGGGTGAAGGTGAGCGAGGACTATCGCCACCGTGCCTCCTTGCCCATCTTCCACCAGCGCTACACCAATGCCTCCCTGCTGCTCACCGAGCTGCGGCCCAACGACTCGGGGATCTACCGCTGCGACGTGCAGCACGGCATCGAGGATGGCCACGACATCCTCGATGTCAAAGTCAAAGGTACCTCAAGGTGGGGAGCGGTGGGATTTGGAGGGTGGGGACACGGGACACGGGGCAGAGGTCCACCCTGCCCAGGTTCCCTCTCCTGGCTCAGCAAACCCCTCCTGCACCCATGCAGGTGGGGGCTGCTGTGAAGCCCCTTGCCCATGCCTGTGTTCCCCCCCGCAGGTGTGGTGTTCCACTACCGGGAGGGCTCCATGCGCTATGCCTACACCTTCGCCGAGGCACGGGAGGCTTGCGCCAGGATCGGCGCCCACATTGCCACCCCTGAGCAGCTGTACGCTGCCTACCTTGGCGGCTATGAGCAGTGCGATGCTGGCTGGATCGCTGATCAGACCGTCAGGTGGGCACCACCGCTGTCCAGGTATCGCGCCCGTCGCCTCCCCCTTCACCCCTCTGCAAGTTGTCAGCCCTCCCCTGTGCTTTCCTGCCCCAGGTACCCCATCCACACGCCCCGCGAGGCCTGTTACGGAGACATGAACGGCTTCCCTGGGGTGAGGAACTACGGGGTGGTGGACCCGGAGGACATGTATGACGTATACTGCTACGCCGAAGACCTCCCAGGTGCCTATGGTGCCGCCAGCCCTGTCCTGCCACCCCTGCTTTTGCAGCCGCACTAATTTGCCCCCATAACCCGTTGTAAACCCAAGTGAAAAAGCCGCCCTGAACCGCAGGCATTGGCTCCAAAACCTCTGAGCTCTGCAAAGCTTTGGCCACTTTGATGCATGCAAGAGTGGGGACTTGCTGTGCTGCCTCCTGAGGTGTTTCTGGTTTGGTTTTGCGGGGTGCGGGGCTCTCTCACTCACAGCAGCTGGTGCCCATCCCTGGCCTCAGGGCTGGAGGATGCCCAGGGTGATCAGCCGCCAGCTGGCAGCACGCTGCGGGTACAGTGCTGTCTGGTGTTTTGGGGTTTGGGCAAGCTCACGCTGTGCTTTGCATGCACTGGGTGCTGCATGTCCTGCAGCTTGGGCACATCCCGCCCGGGCAGGTGTGCATGGGGTGGCTGGTCCCTCCTTCGGGCCCTGATGGGGCTCCCCACCGGTGGCTGTGGCAGCCGTGGGGTTGGTTGGGGTGATGCCAGGCAGGTGGCAGGGATGCAGTGCAGGTCGCTGGTGTGCAGGGCGTGATGTGCTGGGAGACTGGTGTGGTCGTGGGGGCTGGCACACAGTGTGACTTAGGGTAGCGGTGTCCAGCCCTTCTCAGCATGAAGCTCCACCACAGCACCCACTGGGCTTGCAGGTCCCCTTAGAAATGTCCCGTACATGGATTGTGCTGTGCAGGGCATGGACTTGCTCCTCTGCCTTCCCTTTCATGGACATTTTAAAGTCTCAGCTCTGTTTGCGAGGGCAGGTATCCTGCATGGCATGAGAGCTTCAGCCGTGCCCACACCGCAGTTGTCGTGTGCATGGGCAGGAAGACCAGAGACAGGCAGTCAGGGGCCTCTAGCCCCCCGTGCTCCTTCTCGTAAGGATCACGCTGGAGGTCCCCATCTCCAAGTCAGCTCGTGGGGTTGTGCAGAGAGTGGAGGAGGCGAGGGGGCTCCCGGAGCCCATGCCCCCCTCTCTGCCTCTGACACCCGTCTCCTTCCTCTCTTCGCAGGGGAGATCTTTTTGGAGACGACCCCAGACAAATTCACACTGGAGGAGGCAGCGGCGCGCTGCCGGGCGCTGGGCGCGGAGCTGGCGAGCACAGGGCAGCTCTACGCGGCTTGGA